GATATGCGCCAGGGCAATATAATCTGAACTTTTGGATTACGTTGCTCGGGACGATCACTGCGTTCGGGATAGCGGGGGAAGGAGAGCCGAGCTATGAGCAGTTTGCCCAACTGTATAGTGTAACAAGGGCGAAGAGTGCCGATCAAGGGGGGTGGGTGCAGTCCAACTGTCTTTCGGCAGGGCAGCGTGGACACTTTGTGGTCGGGGTGCCGAGCTCCCAAAAGACCTGGCGCAAGCGTCGGGTAATTGTTTCTGGTGCTTGGGAATCGGCACCATGGGTGATCGTAGAGAAGCGGATCCCTATGACCTTCCAAACAGTCGGTAGGTTAGGCCTGCCTTTCGGCAGCAGTGTTTGGGTTTTTTTTTTTTTTTTTTTTTTTTTATATTTAACCGTTTGTGGTTTTTTTGTTTCAGTGTCCCTGAAACGGCCTGTTGCGCCGATCAGAGAAGTGGAAGCGATCGAGCGGGTGCGAGTGAAGATTGTCGAAGAAGATCACTTTTTTAAGGAGCTGCTGTACTTCAGGAATTTGTACAAGGCGGGGTTGATCGGCAAGGCGGAACTCAACCGAAGGGCGAAGGAGGAAGAGGAAGAAGAAAAAAGGCAGAGTAAGAGATGCCGTTCGGCAGGTTTATTACTTATCTTTTGTCTAACTACCGTTTCCTATCTAACTTGTGTTCTCATGCAGTGGCAGGTGGGAGGCCGATGAGTGAGGCGACGAGGCGGCGTCTGAAGGGTCATGGGACGCCGAGGCTGAAGAAAGGGGAGTCCCCCAGGCCGAAGAAGAAGAAGGCAGCTAAGGCGTCCGGGGGGGCTTCGGCTGATGAGATGACGGTGGCCAATCGTTGCCGGGAGAAGAGGGTGGCCGAAGCCGAGGCCGTTCGGGAGGTCCACCTCCAGGTGACGGGCAAGAGGCAGATCGAGGGTGCCCTCGATGTAACGCCGATGCTGAAGAAACCTAGGGGGCCGAACGAGGGGACCTCCGTGCTAATTCCCGACGATGAAGGGGAGGGAGAAGAGGGGCCGATGAACATTGCCTGCCCTCGGAAGGCCGTGCCGTTCATCAACTGCATGATCGATGGCTCTCAAATGGAGCTGTCAGAGATCGAGCAGCTGTCGATGAAGACGTTGCGAGAGCAGACCGGGCGAGCCTTCCGGCTTCAGGCTGCAATAAGTTTGTAGAGATTTTGTTTTTCGTTTTGTTTCCAAGTGTTTGTGGATTCGGCACTTACTGAACTTTGGATTTATGCAGGCTGATATGGACATGTGGCTTTGCGTAAAGCAAGCCGTAAATGCTGCCGAACGGTACCAGAAGAAATTCGAGGAGGGCCGTTCAAAAATTGCCGATGCTGGTAAGTTGATTCAAGAGGCGGATCGGCGTGCCGAGGAGAACGCTGCCAAGATTGCAGAGTTATCCTCGAAACTGGCGACAACTAAGCTAGAAGTGGTGGCAGCTCATGAGGCTAAGGTTGCTGTGCAAGTAGCGATGGATGCAGCCGAACGGTCGCATGCTATGGAGGTGGAAGAGGCGAAGGCGAAGGCCGTTGCTGACTACCGTTCCACGAAGGAGTTCACGCTGCTGGTGTTCAAGGAAGTCATGGATCAATGTGACGACCTTGTCTACCGATTCAAGCAGTATAACGCAGATAATAAGCTGAACTTGAACTTCCTCCGGGATCCGCCTCCGCTGCCAGAAGGGGTGACCGAAGAGATGGTGGAGGCATACAAGGGAGAGGATGCCGATGCCGAATCTGCTGGTGAAACCGACTCAAGCAGTGGGGAGGAAGATGGTCATCCTGTCCCAACTGCTACCAGTCTGCCTGCTGCCGAACTGTCGACCGGTCCTGAGCCTGCGTCAGCTGATGCTGAAGTCGAGACGACCGATGCTGATCCTCCCTCCTCTTAGACTTGTGTATTTTAATCTTCATATTTTGGAAATGTACTCTTTTTTTTTTCTTTTTTTTTTTTTGAATGTGCCGAATGGCACTGTACTAAGACAGATGGCCCGTTTGTGGCTTTTTTAATCTCAAGTTTGCTTTGATTCGGTTTAATTTACTAACTTCCGTATTCTTATGTGTGCATGCCGTAGGTAGTTTATTCTGAATATAATATTGCTGTTTATGGTAATGCCGTATGTATAGAATAGGGAGTGTTAAAATAAACTGATTACAAAGGTGACGACCGAAGGTGTGGTCACTTGGACAAAAAGTGATGACTGAAGGTGTAGTCACTTGTAGTAATATTTCAAATGTTCTACGTTCCAAGGGTGGCCGAGGGTATGGCCATCGGTACCGCGCAATCGGTAAGTTCCGGGTCGGCAGACGGTGATGACCTCATAAGGACCTTCCCATGTAGGGCCAAGGGTGCCTTCGTTGGAGTCCTTTGTGGAGAGAGAAACTTTGCGTAAGACCCAGTCCCCCACTATGAACGATCGGCGTTTGACGCGCGAATCGTAGTATCGTGAAGTCTTCTGTTTGTAGGCGGCATTCCGAAGCTGAGCTTGGGAACGGTGTTCCTCGATGAGGTTAAGGTTGAGTGCAAGCAGTGTCTTATTTCGCTCTGGCGCGTAAGATGCCGTTCGGCACGTGGGTGCGTTGATTTCGACTGGGACAACCGCTTCGATACCAAAAGCAAGGGAAAACGGCGTTTCGCCAGTTGATCGTCGGTAGGAGGTGTTGATGGCCCATAACGCTTCTGGGAGCAAATCGGGCCAGGCTCCCTTAGCTTCCCGAAGCTTCTTCTTCAGTGTTTTCTTGATGATCTTGTTGATGGCTTCTACTTGGTGTCTGCCGCGCAAATCTCACGACCTGGGGTTCCGGGCCGAGGGGATGTGCGTTGACACGCGGTTTCCTGCTTTTGGGTGCGGTGCGGTTATGCGCGGGCGTGCCAGCGCGGTCTACCATGCGTCGAGTTGGTTGATGAGTGTTGGATGGATAAGTGATGCGCCTGTTTGAACTCGTCTTCTAATCAAACGATTGTAGCCGAGAGAGGAACTGGTCTCGGCTGTTAGGTTCACGGCCTGAACTACAAGGCCGTTGAATGATGGGGTTGGTGGTGGGTTTAGGGTGGTGCTCCGGCGCGTCGCCTAGGGAGCGACGGTCGTATGATATATGGGGTGAGTGAACGAACAACAAGGATGGTGCTCCGGCTCCTTCAAAATCAAGGGTCGTATGATATATTGATGAGTGAAATTTCCTTACAATCTAACACTACTCCTAGGAAAGCAAGTAAAGATATTGAAAGTGCATTACAGGAAAAAAATAAGTTGCTCCGTGGGAGGCTTTGGTTTGGTGTTTGAACCCGTCTTCTGTCACTCGAGTCTTGTATTTATAGGAAGAGTTCGTGGAGGAGTACTCGAAGCTGAAAACCCGCATGGTGGAGCCTGATTAGATCAAGTGGGTGTCTAATCGACATTTGGGATCGTGAAGTACTCCTAGGAAAGCAAGTAAAGATATTGAAAGTGCATTACAGGAAAAAATAAGTTGCTCTGTGGGAGGCTTTGGTTTGGTGTTTGAACCTGTCTTCTGTCGCTCGAGTCTTGTATTTAGAGGAAGAGTTCGTGGAGGAGTACTCGGAGCTGAAAACCCGCATGGTGGAGCCTGATTAGAGCAAGTGGGTGTCTAATCGACATTTGGGATCATGAAGCATGGTGGTGTGATCCCTTAAATCCTGGTGAATCTCGGTCGCCGCCCTGATCGTGGGTTCTGAGCTTCTGGCTGTGGAGACGCATTTATTGCTCTGAAAGCTAGTGACCTAATACCTCAAGCTGGCTGCCAGAATTCTTGTGAGAATGTCTACGTCTAATCACTCTGATCCTCATCACCAAATCTTGACTTCAATCACTTCCCACCTTTCCTCATGCATTAAATGCTTATTTGTGGCCAGTGGGCTTGCTGCATTAAACAGGCACTACTTCATTAAATGAAGCATGGGACCCTGTTGTCACGTGATGATTCGCACTTAATGCCTCTGGCCGCAATTTCATTCGGCCTCGGCCTCGGCCTGCACTCGAGGCCGGGATGATCATGCCTTAGCATTTTTCTTTTGTCCTCAGGAAGGCAAAGCACCCTTTTGAAACGCTGCGTTCCGGTCTTACGAGCAAGTGCCAGGGCCGAGAGAAGGGACTCCTTCGGCCAGCTCATGGCCGTGATTTAATAGGCACAAACACCTGGCCGTTTGATTGTGGGTGTGCTGGAGATGCGAATAACAAGTTGATGTTGAATCGATGGCATAGGTGCCGGAACTGAGAGGAGTCGAATTGTTTACCGTTGTCGGTGATGATTGCGTTCGGGAGGCCGAACCGACAAATTATGTTCTTCCACACGAAGTGCTCAACCCTGGCTGCGGTGATGGTCTTCAATGCTTCGGCTTCGGTCCACTTCGTAAAGTAGTCGACAGCGACGATGGCGAATTTAAGCTGTCCCTTTCCCTGGGGCATGGGGCCGATAAGATCCAAACCCCATTGAGCGAAGGGCCATGGGCTGACAATCGGAGTGAGCGGTTCAGCAGGCAGTTTAGTGATGGAACCAAAGCGCTGGAAATGATCACACCTCTGGACGAGTTTGGTGGCATCGGCATGAAGAGTCGGCCAATAATACCCTTGCCGAATGGTCTTGAAGGCCAGAGATCGGGTGCCAGAATAGTCCCCGCAGGCTCCTTCGTGAATTTCTCGTAAGATTTAGTTCCCTTGCTGCGGGGTCATGCACCGAAGCAATGGTAGGGAATGACCACGCCGATAGAGAATTTGATTCAAAATTAAGTATCGTGCCGATCGGCGGCGGAGAGTTTTGGCCTCAGTTTTGTCGTTTGGTAACGTTCCGCTTGTGAGGTAAGCATGGATTGGATCCATCCAGCTTGGATCCTGCCGAACGGCATGTACCTCGGTTTCAATGGTGCTGTGCCGAGCGAGGATTTCGATTGGCACGTGGCGGCCTACGTTGTCGTCAATTGCCGATGCCAGGCGTGACAGGGCATCGGCGTGGCTGTTCTCGGATCTGGGGATCTATTGAACTTGATACGTGGTGAAGTGGTGGAGCAATCGGCGGGCATGCGTCAAATAGGCAGCCATCGAAGTATCCTTGGCTTCGAATTCAGTCAGTACTTGATTAACGACAAGTTGTGAGTCGCTGCATATCTTTTGTTGTTGAGCACCCATTTCTTTGGCAAGCCGAAGGCCTGCCAACAGAGCTTTATATTCGGCTTCATTGTTGGAAGCCTGGAATTGGAATCGGATGGCATATTCGATGGTCGTTTGATCAGGGGCCTTCAGTACTAAGCCGGCCCCGCTGCCTTGTCGGTTCGACGAGCCGTCCACATAGAGAGTCCACAGGGGAATTGATGGATTAAATGTTCCTTCGGTCGGATGGGCGACTGAACCCGAGGCCAAACCGGGGGTGATATATTTCGAATCAGCGCTTTCGGACGTGGTCATCTCGGAGATAAAATCAGCCACGGCTTGACCCTTCTCGGCAGGCCGAGGATGATAGTGGATGTCGAATTCGCTGAGCTCGATGGCCCATTTTACTAGTCGACCGGATGTCTCGGGTCTCTGTAGTATTTGGCGTAGAGGCTGATTGGTGAGAACGGTGATACTGTGAGCTTGAAAATACGGCCGAAGCTTTCGTGCTGAGAGGACTAGAGCGTAGGCGAGTTTTTCGAGCTCAGGGTACCGAAGCTCAGCATCTTGCAGGGCATGGCTAATATAGAAAATTGGGAGTTCTATGCCGTTCGGCTTGCGAATGAGCACAGAACTGAGTGCCGTTGCCGAAACCGAGAGGTAGAGGATGAGTTCTTCGCCGGGAAGAGGGGTGGATAACAGGGGTGCTCTGCTCATGTAGGCCTTAAGATCTTGGAAGGCTCGATCGCATTCGGTAGTCCAGACAATCTGCCGTTTGCTTCCTTTGAGGGCCTTGAAGAATGGGGCGCACCGATCGGGCCAAAGCGGCGACGCGCCCAGTGAGACTCTGAATATCTTTCTGCGTCTTCGGTATCTACATGTCGAGCAATGCCTTGATTTTTCAGGGTTGGCCTCAATGCCCCTTTGGCTGATCATGAAGCCAAGGAATTTGCCTGAAGAGACGCCGAAGGCACATTTGCTTGGGTTGAGACGCATGTTGTACTGCTTTAAGACACTGAACATGAGGGAGAGGTTGTGAAGATGAGAATCGGCTGTTTTTCTTTTGACCAGCATGTCGTCCACATAAACTTCCATCGTGGTGCCGATGAGTTCAGAGAAGATTTTGTTGACCAAGCGCTGGTATGTTGCCCTAGTATTCTTCAGGCCAAACGGCATGGCATTGTAACAGTAAAGTCCTTTGTCGGTGATGAATGCCGTATGTTCGCGATCAGTAGGGCTCATGAATATCTGGTTATAGCCCGAGTACGCATCCATAAAGCTGAGAAGTTCATGGCCTGCCGTGGCGTCTACCATTTGATCGATCCTGGGCAACGGAAAACTATCTTTGGGGCAAGAATTGTTTAAATCGGTATAATCCTGACACATTCTCCAGGCGCCGCTTGATTCTTTGACCAAGACTGAATTGGCCAACCAAATTGGGTAAGTGACTTCCTGGATGAAGCCGATTGTCTTCATTTTCTGTACCTCTAGCCTCATTGCTTCGTATCGTTCGGCATCATAGGCCCGCCATTTCTGTCTGATGGGTTTGAAAGTGGGACAAATGCTGAGCTTATGACTGATGACACTTGGGGCGATGCCAGGCATGTCATTGTATGACCAGGCGAAGACTTCTGTATTGGCGCGCAAAAAGGCAATGAAATCGGCCAGTAGTGCCGAACTCAAGGTGGTGCCGATTCGAACTTGTCGGTCGGGCTGTGCTTCGGAGAGGGTGACCGATTCTAGATCTTCAATGGGTTGCGCTTGTGGGGTGACGGCCTCATCTCGAGGATCATCTGGTTTGTCCGCCCCCCTGCCGTTCGGTACAACCACGTTGGTAGCAACATAGTATGCTTCGTGAAGCGTAGCTCTTGCCGAGTCCTTTGTTGCCGAAACGTAACATGTCCGTGCACTCAACTGATCCCCTCGCACTTGGCCTACACCAGCGTGTGTGGGGAACTTGAGGAGGAGCATGTGTGGTGACAGCATGGCTTTCATTTTGGTGAGCGTCGTTCTGCCGATGATGGCGTTATATGCCGTTGGGCAATCTACTACCAGAAAGTGAGTGTAGATGATCGTTCGTCTGGGGATAGTGCCGACGGCGAATGGGAGCTGAACACTGCCGATAGGTTTAACCACATCACCAGAAAAGCTTAGGAGGGGAGTGATGTCTTTGTTCAGATGCTGCGGATCTATGCCGAGGGCATTAAAAGCGTCGGCAAATAGTACATTGACCGAACTGCCGGTGTCTATGAGGATTCGGCCCACATCGAATTCTGAAACATCGGCTCGTATGATCATGGGATCGGAGTGGGGGAAGATGATGCCTCCTTCTTCCTCTTCAGAAAAGGTGATGGGTTCCCTACCGAGTCGCCGAATTTTGTCGTTGCGTCCTCCCGCTATGCTGAGGATTTGGGGGTGCCGAACGGCACGAACGTAGTTCTTGACGGATCGGTTGCTGGTTTCGGCGAGGGGTGCCCCTCCACTGATCATATTGATCTGCCGACCCGAGGGTTGATCCGGAGCCGTTTTGGTGTTCAAGTATTGATCCAGCTTCCCTTCGTTGATGAGGCGTTCGACAATTTTCCGAAGGGCGATGCACGATTCTGTATCGTGGCCATTGTACTGGTTGTATCGGCAGAAGACTCCTGTGTCCTTCTCGTTCTACCGAGGGAGCTTGCGATTATTCGGCTTCGGTATCATCTCACTTTCTGTCAGGAGGACATGTTCGTAAAGTGAAAATTTCCTCTGGCCGATTCTTTTTCGGATCTCTGAAGTCGCTTCACCTGCCGTAGTCCTTGCCCCTTTTGCTGCCATCCTGCCGACCCCGGAAGTTGTCTTTCCGTTTGTTTCGTGCTTCGTAAGGAGCAGAGGCAGGGGGTGCCATTCGGTAGGGGGCCTGAGTTGTTGTCCGATTTGCTGGGAATCGGTCATAGTTTTGTGTGGAAGGCCGATCGATTGGTGCCACTTTGCCTGGTGGGGCTGTTGTTAATAATATGTTAACTCGCAATTGTACGGGGCAATTAGTAGTATAGCAAGACAAGTACGAGGTCGTACCCACGAAGACTGAGAAGTTCAAATTAGTTATGTACTTTAGATTACCAAATTCAAGAAGTTAGGAAGTTAAATCTAAAACAGAATTTAAAGCAAGAGTGAGTTTGAAAACAAATGCAGCAAGATTAAAATGAACTTTGAAGTGAGAATGCTTGTGATTATAGAAAGAAATGAACAAACTGAAATTGCAACGGAAAGCAAGTAAACAAAAGTAACAAAGGGTGGTTTTGAAAGTTAAAACACAGGTTTGGAGACTAGGGCATTCGATTCACCATAACAATTCAATTCTGGGTTATAAAGATTCAAGTAACAAGTCTAATTCAGATTCAAAGATTGATTCTAGCTAAAGTATGATTAGGCCATGGTGTTTGGTCCTAACCTTGTGTTCCTAATTCCCTAATTTGATCATTTGTTGTCTAACCTAAAATT